TTAACGTTAAAAAAATAGTTCCTCTAAACATTTAGTAAAGATTTCGTGAAAGAGATTTCAAAGAAATTTCAAAATCCTAAATCCTAGAAATTTTTATTTCCAAGAAAATCTAAGAGATTTAAAGGGTTCTTCGAAAACGAATCAATACCGAGTAATCCTCTCGTCGCCCTCTGTTCCGATTTGACCTAAAAGTCTTGTCGGAAAAATCGTTCGCCGGAGAGACCCCAGCGAAGCGCACGCGTCCGCGCCGGCCGCCTCTCTTTTCTCGTTTTCCGCTCGGTTCGCCGTGAATGGGGGAAGAAGAAGGGCCTCGGTTAATCCGTATTAAGGGAATTAGGTTTTGCTAAATAGTCCAAAAATGCCCTTACTTAAGTAAATTTCGTATTTAAGAAACAAGTGAGGTAAAATGGGTATTTAGGAACTTCTAGAAAATAATAATCTCTAATTAGGCAAAATTTGGTATAACTTCTATAAATACCAAAACAATGCAGAATTTCGCGTTAGGATTTGTCTAAAATTAATCTCGTTGCAATCCCGATAACCTTGAAATTTACTGTAAATTCTCGTACCCGGCGCTTTAAAAAGCGTACGATCCTAAATTAGATTTTGGGTTTTTACTAATTTTATATAAAGCATCAAATAAACATTACTTGTTACTAATATAAATGAAAGCATCTAATAACTCCAATTACATTAAACAAATACTGTACAAGGCTATTATACCAATCCCAAAATATTAACCACTAAAACTGTTTTACATACCTCAATGTAAGACTTACAACACGAGCTAAACACTGGCATATAAAATGAAATAACTGCCCAACTTATTATGCATCAACATTTTTTTTTTTTTTTTCCTACTAACAACACCCATTTGAATAACTTTGTGACATATGAGACTTAATTAGTTATGGGCAGAATTTAAATATCAATTAAATTTGCATGATTATAAAATTTACACATTGTAAATCAGAAATAACAACTTGATATTTTTGAAGTCGATACTGAATATCAATATTAGTATTTTTAAAGCATTTTGCTAAAACATTCATTAGCATGTTAAATGGAGCTCAAATAAACCTGACAGTTATCACCATGAACAACTTAAATATCTTTTGTCTCTTTATGGGTCATTTTTTCCCATATGCCTATGCATTGTATTATTTCTCTGGGATCCTTTTGCCCCAATTACAATTATAAGTTTACATCAGTTTTATAGCCGAATTTACTTTAAATTTATAGTTCACTATATTTCACTATTTCATTAATTCATAACCTTTTTCAAAATATGCTTTTATAACGATCTTTCATGTTTCTATTTATATAAAGAACTATGTATGGCCATATGTTAGAGTGGAGCTTCTTTCCAAGATATTTCATTAATAAAATCTTTAAATAAACATATACTTTATTTGAAAACTTTATGATCAAATTACTATAGAAGGTCATTCATACATGGAAACTTGGCTATGAACATCCTTTAATCAATAATAATTAACTTTAATGCATATTTCAATTAATTCAATCAATTAACAAGTATAAACAGTATAGAATTTATAACATTGATCCTTTAAATTAATTTGCATTACATACGTTATTGAAGATTGAATCCCAATCCATCTACCTCTTACACTTTTCCTTTTGTAAGTAACCTACACAAATCACTAACAAAATCCTTTAAGTTTCTATAATTTATCATTCAACTAAATTTGGCATAAACTCATTTATACTAACATAAATCTTTTACCTCAAAACTCCCTTATGCATATACTCGAGGAATCCTAAAATTACAATTGGGATTTATTTCTTAGAAAACTTTATTGACTTTAGAAATTTAAAAAAGTACCAATAAACTTATAATTTCTTACCTCTTTGTTTATTCCTTTTCTTTCACTCTTTCTTTCCCTGCTTCAAACCACACCACACTAAATCACCGTTCCGTCAATCAGTTTGTAACACTTCACATTATAGCTAACAATTTTATTACATGAATCCAGAGTTAATTAAATTCAAAACTTTGCCTACAGGTTTCTTAAATAACTTTCAATTTTAATTATGCTATTAATTCCGCACTGCCGCCGATTTCTCCTACATGAAAGCCGATTCTTCTTAGTGCACGGTGCCAAATTCCAACCAAAGTTTTCTCACCCGAAATTTCTGCTTCTGTTGGCTTGCGTGAAATCAAAACAGAGAACGAACTCGGTTGCTGCGTGAATTCCAAAACTGAAGGAAAAATTCGGATGAGAGGTCCCAACACATAACTGCCTTTTCTTCACTTTAACTTTCCCACATACATTGCATGCGTGAACTTCAAACTGGTTAAAGGGCCCACAAAAGATAACTTCTAACATTAACCATTCGGTGCTCATTTGTTCGGTGATTAGGAATTAGGAGGTACTTAATTTTATTTAAACTAGTACTTATATTTAGAGTAAGATAATAATTTCTTAAATAAAAAATTATTATATTTACCTAAAACTTGGGTGGTTCAAAGAGTTTGCATTAAGTATCAACTTTTGGAAGGATAGGTGGATTAATGATGTTCCCCTTCTACTGAGCTCAATGATCCTATACTTTTTTTCCATACCAGAATTAATAATAACTCTTGATTTATTCCAATAGGTTGGCATATTTTTGTGGAGAATCGTTCCTTGTCGCATTTTTATTTGTTTTTTAAAAGATAGAATGAATCTTCTTAACTCCTCATCACTCAATAATTACTTCAGAGAATGACCAGAAAGTGGTAAAATTGGCTCTTTTCACCCATGTAGTATTCGGTCAGTCCTCTACTTTCCTGATGGATGGTATGCTCATAATTTCACTGGATATTGACTTGGAGCTCTAATTATAACTTAATCTGTGTTACTTATTTGGATTAAATGTTTACCTCCAGCAAAATAGATTCTTGCTTAAGAAAAGTATTTTTAGCAAACACTTATTACATATGCAAGACAAATTTGGAAAGATGATTTTTCTTATATTTCTATAGAGTTTATTTTAAATACCTAAAATGAGTTCTCAAACTGGAAAAACGAAGTCCAAGTTTATCAAAGGAGTATAAATACATATAATTTTACAAGGCCTTAATTAAGAAAATAGAAAATTCCTGTTAAAGGAAAGAATTTCATCAAGAAGAGACTTTTAGAGAGTTTTTGTATTTTTTTTCATCTCTTCTTCATCAGTATCCATTTGAGTTATAGGAAGCTAGAGATGCTTTTCTGACATGCAAAGGTCCTTTGGTTCTAATTCATCAACCTAAGCTATTTTGGAACGCAACAATGCAAAAGGGAAAAAAAACTATTTTTTTTTTTTTACAAAATTTTGAAAGACGTCAACATATCACCGTGACTGCATTGCAAAATTTCGGAAAAGCCCTAATTTTTTTGCAACAGGAAAAGAGTACTATTCTAGGATCAATAAGAAGGATACAAAGACACTCTAAAAAACAAAAAAACAACTTTATACAATTATAAAAAGGATACTTACAACTTTTGATGCTTACAATACAAACAATAAACGATACACCTAAATTGCTTTCTTGGATTGAGAAGAAGGATACTGAGTGGAAGGCGAACTTATGGAGAAGACGAAAAAATGAGATATAGAAGCTAGAGAAGGAGGAGAAGCTCCAAGCTTTCCCTAGAGAAGAGAGAGGAGTGCAAACATACTTGCAGCTTTCCATGAAGAAACCCACAGGTTTAGCTCAAAAATCAGTCACACTTATCTTCCACTAAAATCTCTTTTTATTTCCAAAAACATCTATATTTATAGGGAAAAGAGGTTAGCTAAACATCAAAATAGCCACCCAAAACTTGACTGCAACTAAAGGCGAAAAAGCCACTGCATTAAAATCAAGAAACAAAAGCCAAAACACCTAATAAACCAAAAATTTATTCTAGAACACACCTAAAAAGGCCACAATAGTAAAACATGGAAAAAGAGAGCGCATGGGTAAGGCAGCGCAAAGGGAAACTGAAGGGGCAAAGCAGCATACGAACAGCAGCCGGGGGGGGGGGGGGGAACCAAAGGGCTGCACAGGTAATCGGGACCAACACCAG